CATCGATTTCTGGATTTTGTAAAGTTGTTATTAAATTGAATCTTGAGTGCTGGTCTTGTGTTATTTAATAATTATGGTTAATTAGAATGCTGGTTTCTAATTAACTAAAATTAAGGAAAAATATGAATAAATTCCAATGGTGAATATTCGAAATATGAATTGAATTATTTTTACATCTGTGATCAATTGTGGATTTCTGACGGTGGATGTGACTTAGACCAATGTTAGTCTTTTAATTGTTTTTATTAATTTAATTTTCATTGTTATTAATTACGTTATTTACAATTCTTTAAATACAAAACCCCATATCATTGTACGAAATATAAAATATTGAATTACATACTATTCGTGAGATCGACCCTTACTTCCACTATTACATTAGTTTTAGAGGTTAAATTATTACTTTTGGGTGTCTGCGACAGTACACACCACTCTCCTATATAACCGTGATTTTAGATCTAAATTTCTCAGAGAAAGATCTAAGGATTTTCTGATAATCTTAAGCTCATGAATTCTTTCACCTATGTTGAAGCTAAAATTCACTATATCATTCAAGCTTGCATATAAGTCATCGAAAGTCTCATCTTCCTTTATCATAATATTTTCAAACCTAGTGGTCAACGTCTATAATTTAGAATTCTTAACAACCTGAGTTTACTCATGTGTGGTTTGTAAAAATTTTCGAACCTGTTTAGCAACCTCACACCCACGCTTAAATTCTTCTTGTGACACGATCATAAATAAAGCATGTAAAGTCTTACTATTTCAATTACACTTATCTAAATTAGCCTTTTACCAATTTGCTATAGGAATGGGGGTGACAACATCATTAATGGTGCTAGACTAAGCAGTCCAGCCAAATATGCTCATCCAACGATTTCAAGAAAGCTTTCATTCTAACTTTCTAATTGGCATAGTTACTGCCATCAAAATATGGTAGGACAGACAATGAACTTTTCATCTAGAAAACTAGGGGTCAGGAAACGAATTTGGGCTCTGATACCACTTGAAAGTTATGCATTCGACCATAAAATCACCTAAAAGAGGGTAAATATGTGAATAATACGGAATTAGAAAGTATCGTTGATTAATATTGTAACAAGTCACAATAAATAATTACTCTAGATTTAGTTCACGTGAATAAACTACCCTATGTTGAATTGTGAGGTTGTGGAAATCATTAATGTAAATAACACAAAGAATTGATGATGGAGAAACCCTTAATTAGGAAAAAACTCCGGGACCAAATTGTAACTTCCACTATATATAAAAAAAACTTACCGTATGATCTAACCTAGAAAATCCACTAGACTCGCTGATCTAATTGCTGCAATCTCTAAGACCCACTGGAACGTGATTCACTCACACCTACTCCCGATCTTCTGGAATTGTCTATCTCTTGTGGACCACCAAGAATATCTTGTTCTTGTACTCTTCCTATACTTCTGGTCCAACTTCCCTCAATTTTCAGCAATCTCTAAAAGTTATTGGGAAATCTCTAAAAGTTTTTGGGAAAGTACATTCCTGATTATATTTAGGAAGTGGATATTTTTGACTATTTGGATTTGATGTCTTTCCCAACTTGTAGTAGATTGATCTCAAGAATCAAATGTTTAATCTCAAAGTTTGGATATGTTCTTAGATTTTGGATTGATATTATGAGATTGTAATATAATGATCAAACACCACTGAAAACGTAATGAGCATTGAGTATTTATAATAGGAGTTATTTGGGTAATATATGATAGATAAAACTTTTGAAAATTGTGAACTAGGATTTCTTGAAAAACACCATTGCTCGAGTGTCAGGCTAGCGAAAGGAGAACGACGGGTGTGTTATTTGAGCGAGGGTCGGGCGACAATAATTTTACCTTTTTCGCTCGAGATTAGATAGGTGACAAGCTAGCGTAAATTCGACGACTTTTTTTTTTTCATGTTTCATACTCTAACCCAAGACTTCTAATTTATCTATGCAACCCACGAAAGGCTCATTGATTTTTACAATTCTTTTATATATTTATTTTCTTTATAATAAATATTTTGTCTAAATAATTGCCAAAACAACATGATTCCTAACAATAACAACATAAACATTTAACTATTCAATTCCACTTAAAACGAAAAATGAGAATTAATAATAGTATAATACTAGGAGCATGTTCAGCCCCCCTTTTTTTAAAAAAAATGCATTTTGAAATAATGATTTGACAGAGAATGTGTAGTTAAAAATAAGGAAAAATTTGAATTTACGTATAATATTATTTTATTAAAAATGTATAGTTAAAAATAAGTGAGATAAAAATATATTTTAAAAATAAAGAGAATCAAACAAGTACTAGAACATTTTCTAGAAAAGAATCAAACAAGTGCTTGTGTTTGCCACTCATTATTTTTTTTAAAACATTTTTCTTTCTTAATTATAACCACACATTCTTCAAATAATATAATATTACACACAAATTTAAAATTTTTCATTACTTTTCAACTACACATTCTTCCATCAATCACTATTCCAAAATTTATAATTCACCCAAAATGAGTGCCAAACACATGCTTAATGAGACAAAATGAACATAACGTTTACCTATTCTTTAATCAAAAGAATCTCAATATAATGAAAATTTATTAATTCTCAAACCATCGTGATTAAAAGAGAAGCGAAAAATATTAATACATAAATTTTGTAGATGGCATGTATTTATATGAGCAAAATAATAGTCAAATATTTTTCTTTAAAAAAAAAAAAGAACCTGTGATATTAGTATCATGAGTAAAGTCGGAAGTGCTCTAAATCCATTGGATCATTCTTTTAAGAGAAAATTTATTTCCATTGTACATGAGAATGTAACTAATGTAAGTTGAACATGCAAGTTAATCTAGGCAAGTAGTTAGAGACATAAATCTAACATTCATATTACTCTATTTTTTGAACTTAAGAGTTGAATCCAACTAAAATATCTGAGGCATAAATCGAAAGAGAAACGTGCGTTCTTCCTTTTTTTCAATAGGAGGGTTTTCACATATAAATGTGTTAAAATAAAAAATAATGTTATTTATCATTATAATAATGAAAAACATATGATGTGACAGTTTATGGAATAATATGATTACACAATTCAATTTTTATGAAAGAAAGATAGATGAGAGAAATGTAAAGAATAATGAGCCGCAAATCACTTGTTCCAAGTTTCCAACACAAATAGTGAAAGTGCCTTTTGGGTGCAGATGCTAACATGCGCGCTGGGTGCTCTGTCTATCAAACTCGTATGATTAAGCAAGAGATTATTTCGCGCTTTGTCTTTCAACAGTACTCTCTCAGCGTTCTACATACACTTTATATACTGTATACAGGTTCTTTGCCCATGAAATTTGCATGTTTCTATACACAATCTTGCGTTTAATTACATAAGAACATTAATGTATATGCTGGGAAAGATGGTTTTTTGTTATTTTATTTATTTGATTTTGAGAATGTGGATTGATTGATTGATTGTGGAGTTGCGTTATTGTGCTATGTGGGTTTTGAGTTATTTCCCTTTTTTTGTTTATTTTTTTTCCCATTTCGGAGTGGATTGTGTAATCGGATCGTGTTGTTTACTTCCCTTTTATTTGCCATTGTAGAAAAAATGCTTCTTTTGATTTTTATTGTTAAATGCATTTTGAATTTCATCGAAGAAAATTTCCGGTGCGATTGTTGCACTTCTGGTTTTTGGTTCTTATTAGTTTCTTTGAAGTGAAAATTGAATTTACCCATTCACCTTGTTATATCTATTGCCAAGGAGGTTCAATGAGGATGGGGAATTTCTTTCTTTTCTTTTTTTTGCTTGAGAAGGATTATTAATCACAAATTTGTTAGGATGGAGAGTGTATCATGGATGATTGCATATTTTGATGTTTGGGGTGTGATTATTTGTTTTTCTGGTATGGGTTGATAGTTTTGAAGTAAAACTCTTAGTGATAAGTGATAACAGTGAAGGCTGGTTCTGTTTAAGCCCATTCTTAATGTTTGTTAATTGATGGCTTTTGAAGTTTTAGGAAGAGAAATCACTGATAGCTTTGTTAATGGTTACAAATTTGTTAGGGTGGTGGGGATGTAATCATGGGTAACTGCATACTTGTTGTTCTGAGGTTGGTGTTTTGGTATTCTGATACAGGTAGATAGTTTTGACGCAAATCTCTTAGTGATAACTGATAACTAGGAAGGCTGGTTCTGCTCAAGCCTTTCTTAATGTTTGTTAATCGTTGCCTTTTAAAGTTAGGAAGAGAATCATGGAAAGTTTTGTTAAGGGTTAAGATCTTTTCAATTTATAAAAGTTGCGAATTCAAGTGAATGAAGAAATGAATATCGAATATATACTAGCAGTATCCTTTATAGGTGTCCATTAATGATTGATTTGAAATTTAGATTTCCCCTTAACAATGTTTATGGTGAAGGGTATTCTGGTGTTTGTTTCATTTTGAGTATAGATAAACTGTTACTCTTCCCTTTCTTTTTCATATTAGTCAAGATTTTGTGCAACGATAATGTTATTTCAATGAAAGGAAGTACAAAAGAGTCTTAATAGCCCAAGTGCTAGCATGTGAAAGTCAGATTTGTTATTCAGTGCTCTACGTACATGTGTATGGATGAGTTCTTATTTCCATTTTTTATCTTCTTTTTTATTTGTGAATGGATTTGAATTTTTGTTGTAGCATTTATTATGCTTCAACTAATGATGATCAAACTTTACATGATTACATTTTCCTTTCCCAAATCTCCTTAGTATTTAATGTTTTACACGATGATCTTTTACCTTTTGGCTTCACAAGACATTTTTTTCCATTTCTCAATATTCATTTCTTAAATACTTTTTGTTATTGCAATTTGAAGTCTTCACTCTAGATTCAAGCTGTATCCAGTTCACTATTTTTATTTTACATCTATATCTATTTGCAGAAATGGGAGCTGGGAGGAAAACACAGACATTTGTATTGAATGAAGCTTCACCTTCATTTGCATCGAAGGCATCTTATGCCACATCAGCTAGAAATTTGAGAAAAAGTCAGCTTGGAGGTGTAATATTTGGTTGCAAGAGCGGAACTTTCAAAGAATGCCTCTCTAAACAACTCTTTGGTCAGTTATTATATTTGAGTACTTAATGCAGTAAAACCATCCTCGTTGAATCATAATTAAGAATAAATAACATTTTATGAACACTAATATGTTAAAAAAAGATAATCATATAATTAATTAGTGTTTAGGATCTTTATTCTGAGATTCATGTATGTTTTAATGTTCAATAGGCCTGCCTTCTCAGCACTTTGTGTATGTAAAAAATATAGAGCCTGGTTTGCCGCTGTTTTTGTTTAACTACGGCGATAGAACAATTCATGGTATTTTTGAAGCTGCCAGCTGTGGCCAACTGAACATCAATCCTTACGCATGGACGTCAGATGGTTCAGAGAAAACACCATATCCAGCTCAGGTATTGTATAGCATTCTCCTTGAGTTTATTGTTTATGTTGTAGACTAGAGTATGAACAAATAAATATGTTTCCTTTAACTGCTTAAGCTTTTAAATAAGGTGGTATAAAGTGGTATTAGAATAGGCAAAGATGAGATCAAATTTCACCTCTACCCATTTATTAAAGTTGTGGACAAGTCAAGCCTTTGATGAAAAAATAAACCCAACCTTTATATGAGGGGACGTGCAGAAGACTATATTTAAATATATAAACATGTTATCCTTCTAACAGCTTAAATTTTTAGATAAGGTGGTTCAAACAATGGCTATAGTTGAGTTTGATGGATGTGTTGGTGTTGGTGTTGGTGTTGCATCTTGTCTTAGAAAAGCCTTACATTTTATTTTTGTTTCATTTGTTTTTTATGCAAAAAGGTTCAGATACGTATGCGGATTCAATGTCAAGCACTTCCTGAACTTCAGTTTAAACCAATAATTGTTGACAACTATTACACTCTAAACCATTTCTGGTTTGAGCTGGATCATGCTCAAGCAAGCAAGTTGTTGTCCAAACTTTCTTCTTTAGCAGTAACTCCAAGCACGTTTATACCACAAATTGCAGAAAATAGGACAGCTATGTTGCTTCCCTTCCCTTCAAATGACAATAGAAAGGAAAGTGGAACTTCTTATCCACCGTCTTCAACAGATAATTTTACAATCTCCAATGATGCAATTTGTACAATGGGTGCTAAAGATGATTCTCAGTGTTTGGATGGAAACAACCAATTTCCAGAGCCAGCCTTGCAAAATCAAATGGTATATGTTGATCAAAAGGATTTTATCTACATGAAATTAAAAGAATTGCTACCCAATGGTGGGCATACAGATGCAGTTAAGGAAGGAAATGCATTAGAATCTGCCATAGAGGATAATTTATTGGGGCTTGAAACTGCTGAAAAAGCTCCAGTGACTTCAGAAGAGGAAAATGATGATAGTTCTTTTAATTTATCTTGTTATCCTGCTGTAATAACACAGGTATACGATTATATCCACTGTTGGTTATGCCCATCGTGATAGATAACTAATTAATTCCTATATTTATATGTTGAATGCAGTTGTGCCAGGAGATTGAAGAACTAAAGGCTTTCAAGAAAGAGCAAACTCAGAAGATGGAAAGTTTGGAAAAGAAGCTGGTACATTTTCTTTCACAGACAACTCTTAAAGTATTTAATTAATTATTTTATCGACATTGAATGGAATCTATCATGGACCATGGCCTTTTCTCAAATGTATTTTGGTGCTTACAAACATAGAATTGCAATAATGAAAGAACTGGCAAATTTCAGATTTTAAAATTAAAGAACAAAATAAAACTAGATACCCATTTGTGGACTCGAACACAAATATGGTCTTGAGATTGTTGAAAATACAAAGCTTCATCACATGGTTTAACGTTGTATACCAGGAAGTAAAGTGATACTCATAAGGAAACTAGATATATGTTAATGTAGGCAGTTTAATTCTTGAATTATATGAAAATCGGACAAAATGAAAGTTCAAAGGTAAGAAAGAATCAAGATTTGGATTTGAGTTGGTGAAATCAAAATTTTTTTTTAGTTGGCATATAGAAGTAAAAGGATTACCAATTCCATAACAATATCTGGTTATGAGTCAGAAGTTTCTGTTTCTTCAAATAGCCCTTGTTTGGCTCCATTAAAATCATATTTTGAGGAAAAATGTAATTTGGAATAGTGATTTTTTGAAGATTGTGTGGTTAAAAAAGAAGAAAAGGTTTTGGATTTATGTGCAATATTATTTTATTGGAGAATGTGTGGTTGAAAAGATTGAGAAAAATGCTTTAAATTTTAATGGAGCCCAAACAAGGGCATAATTGATGAGGAATTCATAAATTTAAGAACTTCTGGTTTTATTTTTCCAGCCTTTTTAAGCTCTTGAAAACATCAATGTACACAACATTCTATAACTAGGAGAGCTTTAATAGCTTGGAAAAGTAATCTTAATACCAGTTGGAAACCAAAAAGAATACTAACTTGACATTTAAAAAGAAAAACTCGATCGAACAGTAGTAGTCCAGAAAGGATTTGGAGAGAAAATAGTCTTTCTCCTGCATCACTTTTCTTCTTTTAGTTCATTGCATTCCTAAAGAAATTTCTATATTTGAGCTTTTACGCTGAAGCATATAATATTTGAAGCTTTGCCTTCTTCTGCCTGCACAATAATATGCTTTGGACCTTTGCTGCATAAATGGTTTGTTAGACGGCATTGTGCCAGTCTTATATTATCTGCGTTGACAGGTACTTCATCACCTTTTGCCATGGCATTTCAGGTTGGAGCAGAAGAAGAAATTTGTCGACTGGAAAATAGATGTATGGCATTGGAGTCTGGGTCAAGTCTTTTCGTGACACAGGCTGAGGAAGCTGTAGTGTCATTTGATGGACTTCACCTCAATCTTGATGAATTAATATTTCTAGTGGGAGGTCATGATGGTGAATCATGGTCATCAGCATTGCATTCATATTCACCTTCACACGATGTGATGAAGTCTCTCAAGCCTATGTCTTCTGTACGAGCATATGCCTCAGTTGCTAAGTTAAATGGAGAACTTTACGTTTTTGGTGGCGGAAACGGTGCTTTGTGGTATGATACAGGTGTTTACTTGTGCCTTCCTCTCTCTCTCTCTCTTCCTCTCTCTCTCTCTCTCAACAGTTTAATGCTGTTTTTTGAAGTTGAGTCATACAATCCTGTTAATGATCAATGGACTCTACGCCCAACCCTAAATGAGAGAAAGGGAAACTTAGCTAGTGCTGTGTTAGATGGAAAAATCTTTGCATTTGGTGGAGGAAATGGAGTTGAAAGCTTTTCAAATGTTGAAATGTTCGATTCAGAAGTTGGACGCTGGATTTCCACACGCTCTATGCTACAAAAGGTGACTTACTAAATTAGGGGCTAATTTGAATATAATTATTGATAAAGGTCATAGATTATGTTGATCATATCCAACTGAAGAAATTTTTTATATTTCCTATACTTCTTTCTCTGTCCAACTTCAAGGATAGATTCTATCTTTTTTGCATAAGATATAAAAGTTAATCCATGCTTCGGTATATAACAATTATAGGCTGGTCTTTTTCTTATTCTGTGTCTTTTTTCCTTTTTAATTGCACCCCATTTCATCTTTGTGGTATTCGAAAATTGTGTTGAAGTTTCGACATTTTATGTTAGGTTTGACATGACATTTTGGTAACATCAACATGTATGGTTAAGAAATAAATTCTGAGTGATAAGAGTCCTAAACATTATAAAGTATTTCAATCCAGAGAAAGTGATGTTATGAGTCTTATTACCAATGCCGATATCCATCACAAGCAATATGATGGAAATATTTTACATACATGTAAAATATTGTCTATTTTATGGGAGTAGTAAAATTAAGTGTTAAATATATTGTCAGTATGTTTTCTCCTTTTTTTCTAAAAAAAAAATGTACTTAGTAGATTTTATCTGTCATTATCTACTGGTTTGTGAAGTCTTTCGTTCCTGTTTGACATGTGTGCCCTCAGATGACCGTTTTCCTTTTCAGCGTTTTTCTCTTACAGCAGCAGAGTACAATGGTGCAATCTATGCTGTTGGTGGATACGATGGTAAAGATTATTTGAAGTAAGTTTTAAAGTCACTCCGTTTTATCTTTCCTTCTTTCTGTTAACAATATGGCACAAGCAACAGAAAACGAGGTTTGTAATGGAGCCTTAGTTGCTCTGGAAATATGAAATAATCCTGACAAATGCATTATCAAATGGAATGAATTTTTTTAATTTTTTAAGTTACTATTATAGCATATGAATATTCATATTTCTATCAAGTTACCCTAATATTTCTATTATATGAAGGATATTAGCGGAGCCCAATTTTATTTAGAACGAAATATGCACTTAGAGCATTTCCAAGACTCTCTAAACATGAGATGCTCTTTATTTTAAAGAGTCAACCTTTAAAATCATGCTTCAAGAGACTTTTTAAATTAACATTTTAAATTAGAGAGAGAGCCAAACTCACTCTCTATAATTAAATGCATTCAAAGTGCTTCAATTTTCAATGTAGGAAAATAATAAAATAATCTCAAGAAAAGCTAGTTAAAATAAAAGATAAAGAAAAATAATAAATAATTTTTGGGAGTAATAAAATTAAGTGTTGAATATAAAGAGTTTGTTGGAGTACTTCAAAATTTTAACTCTATAAATTTATAGATGCTTTCCAAATAATAGAATATGTTCTTTAAAAATACAGTCTCTTGAAGATGCTCTTAGATGTGCAAATCTCCATTGTAATACCTTTAGATTGAAGTGGAAATTCTACAGCAGCAAGTGGACGTGACTCTCACATCGAGGGGGAACAACTATGAATCTCTGATTCTGTGTGTTCCTTTCTTTATTACTTTTGAGATTTCGATTAACATTTATACTATTACAAACTTTATAATAGTAGCTTTTCCAAGATTCTCTACCGTCCCGTCTCAGGTCTGCTGAAAGATTTGACCCAAGAGAACACTCGTGGACTAGAATTGCAAGTATGGAAACACCGAGAGGCTGTCATTCATTGGTTGTCATGAATGAGAAGTTGTAAGTTCTCTGTCTGTTTTCACTATTTAGTCTTGAGATATTAAGATCGTGTCTATCCATTTTCACTGCGTTAGGGTGTGCCTTTGGGTTGAGTGATGACCTGATACTTTCATTTTGGAGGACCCTTTTTCTGGATTTCTTTGGTAATCTGTTCTTCATAAAAAGTAAGCATAAAATTAAGATTCTTCCCAAGTTTTAGATTAATGAGGTAGTTGACTCATAGTTGTCTCAAAAAAACTTGCAGTTGACTCCCATTAAATATTTGTTTGGTTGTGCTTTCAAGTGCTTATAGCGACTACTTTACTTAAGATGGATTATTGCTCTTCAGGTACGCCATTGGTGGTTATGATGGAAATGAGATGGTGCCCAGCATGGAAATATACGACCCTCGTCTTGGAAAGTGGATGACCGAGAAGCCTCTGAACCGAGCCAGGGGATATTCAGCTACTGCCGTTCTAAACGAATCCATATATGTAATTGGAGGTGCTGATACTGCTAATGGCACAGTGGACAATGTTCGTACATTTTTGGCCTTGTTTTCACTTTCCTGAATTTTCTTTCTTTACACGATACGCATTCATTTAGCTGACACTAGAAATGCAATGACAGATTGAAAGATACGAGGGTCGAGGTTGGCAAGAAACAAACTTGAAGGCTGTCAGTAAAAGGTGCTTCGCCTCAGCTATTGTCTTGGGAGAGAGTTAAAAGTTGGTTGAAATTGATAAAACGAGAAAATTTGGAACAAGTTTCCATATCGTTCGTTGTTTGGTAAAGCTCTGGGATGGATTCATAGAGACTAAATACTATTGTACAGTGCAATGAACACCAGAAATAAGCATTGTGTTTCTTGGGAACTTCTTGTTTTAATGGATCTGGCTATTGATTACTCTCTTTTGAAATTAGTGACAAAGTTTGGGCTATTCCAAAGTTTTGATTATCACCCCCCTTTTTTCTCTCCAAGAAAAGGGAATTCCAAACTGAAAAAAATAATTATTATGATGAAACATTTGTCTGATTGGAAATCCACCAACATTAAGTGGGACTTTCCTGGCTTTATTTTTCTCCTTTTTTCTTCATTCGTCTCCTCAATTTGCGACTCTTTTAGCCTGGTCCCCTCTCCTTGATTTCATGAAATTTTTTTATAGTTATTATGAGTTAATGCCACAAATACAGTTGCTAGACTAGGTAATTTATTATTGTTTATAAATTTATGTGAAAAAATTATCAAGATTATCATAATTAATGACACTAGGTAAGGAGTGGTAGTTGGCTGTATTATTTTTCACAATAAATTAATTTTAGTGTTGACAGTGGATAAGAGTACATTTTTATGCTCGTGGAACACATATGGTGTGTTTGCTGGATATTATTAAGGAAAAAATGTATTTTAAATAGTGATATGATGGAAAATANGATATTATCGAGGAAAGAATGTATTTTAAATAGTGATATGATGGGAAATATGTGATTAAAAAGTAAGGAAAAGTTATTGATGTGATGTAAAATATTATTTTATTGAAGAATGTGTGGTTGAAAATGAGTTTTGGAAGAATGTATTTTGAAAGAATGTGTGTCAAACAGGGGCACAATTTAATTATAATTATTTGAATAAAAGAGATAAATTTTTTAATGGACAGTGCAATTAAGTTAATTAAGTAATATTTAAGTCTAATAACATGTAAGGTCAATTACAAATACTATGGTGGAACATATTAATCCTTTATTTCTTCTTATGTCTTTAAATAGAGATCTTTGTACTTTTGAGTTAGATATGAACATTATAAAATATTCGAAAAATTAAAAAAAAAAATTATTTCTAAATGGACAATAAAAAGTGGACAAGAGGAGGATATAATATTGTACATGAAAGAAAGTGGAGCAACCACTTATTGTTTGACAAATATAGTGCCTTTTTTATAATATCTTTGTTGTATTGAACTAAACATAATATATATAAAAAGTTGAAATATTTTTGTTGTCTTGTATATTACTCTTCAATATTGTAACTAGACACGTTGTTGGCACAATTTTATAGGCAATTTACATATGTCGAATAATGCATCTTTTATTCATAAAAACATTCTAATATGAAACCTCATTTCAAATAATTTACTGTTTCTGCCGGAAAATTGAAAAGACGAAGAGACATTCAAGAATTATAGTCTTTGATTACAACAAAGTTGTTTTACCTTCATTGTCGTTCACCTTGGGGAATATTAAAGTTGTCTTAACATTTTTGTCCAATATCAAGAAAATGCCAGATTTCAACTTCATTTATGGACAATAACTACATAAATGCAAGCAACAAGTTGTATAGTTCACAAGTTGGGGACCCCCACCACACCCCACTTTTGCAATTCTATCTTTTTCCCTCGTGTGAATGTCTTTAACTTTGTAAGTACTTCACATCATATGTATTTTGAACTTAGAATTCAAGGTTCTCGCCTCCAGGAAATGAATGAGTGGACATGTACACGTACACACTTAAAATGATTTCAAATGTAAAATGATAAATACAAATATGCGATAAACTATAGCGTGTAGTTAATAAGTTTAAATTATTACTGAAATATGAACGAAGACTTTTGCAAGACTTTATATTAATTTATATTTTTCAGAGACTATGAGTGTCATAGGAGCATCTACGATGCAACCGAACATGGTAAAAACATGTAAACACAAAATCTACGTTCAAAATATGCTTATTTACGAGTAACGTATGTGATACTAACAAGTTGCGGCAAATGAAATCATATTCTAAACAAAAATGAAGTCGGTTACCTAATTTTTTTCGTTATAGTAGTGAAAGATTCGAGAAAGTTAAATAGTTAAAGACTTCAATTGTGTAATATATTCTACTGATGTTACTTTAAAACTCATTTTAAATCTGGGAGAAACATGTTTAGCTACTTTGAATCTTCCTAGTATGTATGATAATTAAATTTTTGATCTCGGTGTTGAGAGTTAGAATCCCTACTTGACTACAACCGACCAAAAAGTAAAGTAACTTCACTTCAAACTTAGGATAACCTAGTTTTATTCGTATTGGTAAAAAATTATGCACAATATGAACACATCTTGTTTTGTTAGAGTTAATTAGGAAAAAACGCTTAAAACCTCTTCAAAAAATCTTTTTCGGGAAACCAGGTAAAATAAAGAAGAGCAACCTCAATTGAAACAAGGTCGTTCAATGGGGCCGGCAGCCATCATTTTGATTGTGACATAAAATTTGTCCATAAATAAGCAATTATATGAAGGTGAGTGGACAAAAAAGAATTGCCCACAAAAAATTATACACAGAAGTCCCTACAGACAGGAGAAATCAAGAAAAAAAGAGGGAAAATGCCTTGTCTTGATATTTCCACCAACGTTAACCTGGATGGAATCAACACAGATTCAATCTTTTCTGAACTCACAAAGGCTGTTTCTCAAATCATCGGAAAACCAGAAAAAGTAAGCTGTCTTTCTCTCTATTACTGTTGGATTAATGTTGATATAATTATGGGCTTGTCCATGTTAGATTTCAGACAAGAATGTTTGGTTCTTGAACCTTGGCAATGGTGCTGGCAGTAGAAATTTATCCGAGTTTATGTACTGTGGTTAAGTATCTTGCTCTAGCCGAAGAGTTTTTTATGCTAAAACTGGAGAAGTTTCTTGAAAACTAAGATTTTAAGCTATTAAGTACTGTGGATTCGATAGAATGGGAGGTGGCAGGAAATTAATCTCTAGTAAACTCAGTTTATATAATGTGGGTTTAAGTATTTTACTCGATCCCAGTGAGATATTTTTTGCTAAAACTCGAGCAATTTCTTGAAACCTCGAAGCTTTTAGGCTAGGGATTGACAGTTCAATAAGAAGGGAAAGTAAGAGGGGATAACAAAGGCATTGATTCATTGTTCTAACTATTTCAACCAACATTTCAAATCACCCAATTATCAAAAGTTCATTCCTTTTTCGAATTCTTCTTTTCAAACAAGGGAGAGGAATAAGATTTTCCTCTCCTTTCGAGCAGTCGCCACCAGATAAATGTTCTAGTTTTCTCAACCCCTTTGATAAAAATTGTGCATGTGTTGGACATTTTATGATAATTGTATCCCACATGCACGCGCGGGGACTTAAGTTTGTCATTTCTCTTTAAGAGTTTAAACTTTTAGACGAGGCGATTTGAATTATATACTCCTCTATACAACTCTATGCTTATTTGCAAGGCTTTAAGCTCCACAAGTTTCTTTTCTCAGATAAAACTAAAGATAAAAGGTTTGTGGGCCCTTGGAATTTTTTCTTTTTATTATTCAATGTACCTGCTAACTAAAATCTTTGCTCCATGGAATAAGAGGAAGCCATTGGTACCCCACTTAGCTAAGATTTTGCATTGAGACCATATATTAGTTCAATGGGAGGATAATAGGAGAACCACAAACTAGTGCAATAATATTGCGGAATAATTCTAATTTAAGGAAATCTAACTAATGACTATCCTACTTTTGTCAGCAAGTCTGTTGGCATTGAACCGAAAAGAGGAGTGAGTAATCCAATCATTTTGGATCGTTTTGTCGAAGATGACTCGGTTTTAGCTTTTAAATGAAATCGTGTTAAGAGAAAATAGGCGCTGTGAGTTCAGTTCTTGCAACTTCCTATTTATGAAAAATTTGCGTATCAACTCATTTTCTTGTCTCTCTAATGACTTAATCTTTTAGATATATTAATCGTTAAATATAATCAAGATTTAAATTTATAGTTGCATGCCGGGTATCTTTTCGAAGGACTATCTTGAAATTTGGGGTTTTTCTTTTATGTGAAGGGTGTTTGGTAGGAGAACCACATCATATAAACAGTGCTATTTCTTGAAGTTGATAGGTTTTACTAAAAACAAAATATAGATAATGATTTAAATTGTTAGATAAGATTAAGTCTAAATTTTTCAATAATCATTAAAGAAATGTCGGCTGCAGAAAAAAGTTATAGAATCAGTCGAGAATAGTCACTTCCCACAAATCCAACTCTTGTTTAGGGTCAGCTTGGCATGACTTTTACTTCTATATTTTTAATAACAGCTTCCCCGATGAAGTCACCGTCGATCAACTTCCTCTAAAGGTTCTTCTAACCAAAAGACTTCCAGATTATTATTCATACAAGCCCAAGAGTAGTTTCGCAGTCTTAGATGTTGCTTTTGACTTGTAATAAGTCTTGTCAAATGAGCTCTTAGTCTTGTTACTTCAAATGCTGGTCTATAAAACTGAGTAATTTTAAACACCCACACGAGATTTCCTTGACGTGGAAACCCCGATGCTTAGTTAGGAGCCGAAGTTGGAAAAAAGGTTTGTAGTAAACGTGCAAACTGAATGTCTATATTACTTGTTCTTCTATATATTGTTAGTTGGGCAAGCGATACATTCTGCACTGTTTTTATGCAACTTAAGATCAGAGCTGGATCGAGCTGATAGTTATTCTAACTCGTATGATTCAGGCAAGAAGACAATGACATTTCGTAAAACAAATCCTATACTTTCCTTTTACGTTTTATTGCCTCTAATGTGTATTATCCAAGGATTTCTTTATGAGATTTGAACTTCCTTTTCAACTAATTGTGTGTTTTTGTTTTCGTAGTTTGTGATGATTCTGTTGAAAGGATCTGTAGCCTTAACATTTGGAGGGAATAAGGAACCAGCAGCATTGGCAGAAATTGTATCAATGGGTGGCATCAACACTGAAGTAAAAAGGAAGTTGATTGCTACACTTGGTTTAATCTTAGAGAACAAATTGTATATTCCGAGAGCAAGATTTGTCCTCAAGGTGTTTGATACGACAACGGGGAGACAAAACTCCAAGCTTTAAACTACGAACGAATTTTCGTGCTTTGAAATAAAATTTCAATGTTTTGATATATATTTTGTAAGCACACAATTGGCGAATTTTCATTTATGGATCTGTTGAATGCTAGAACTTGATAGCCTAAATTTTATTATAGTTGTTAGGCCAAGAACACACAATTTTAGACCAAGAAACAAAGATTCCAAACCTTTCTCTAAACTAAAGTGCAAAAAATTAAAGGAACACAATCGATATATCTCGGCCTATACCCCGAAGATTCGGTGACCGCTTCTAACACCTACATCCCTCGTTAAGCATAAAAAAGTTGGATTATGCTCGGTTCCACTATAACGCCCAAAATGACAACAAATGTTACAATAATGTTCAGTCATATCACAAAGAATAGTACAGAACACTTATCTATCTAAAAAATATAGCAATCGATTTACACGAACCACAAATAATCGCTTCAGAATCTTAGAAACAACAACTCAAAAGCACTAAGACTTCCTTACAGATATTCACTCAGGATATCATCACAAAGAGACTAAAATATTACAGATCACCTTCTCAAATCAAGAATTTGAGAAGGAATTACAGAGAAAACAAAAGACCAGAGAAAACCTCAAAACGGCGCACTCCCAGAGATAGAAAAGAATGAAGCCCTAAAACCAACCATAGAATCAATGCCAAATGAAATGGCATAAAGTAAAAGAACCATCCAGAATTCTAACCATAAGCTAAAATCCATCCACACGTCGCAATCGGGTTGAAAGTGTGGTTTTAATAAAGTTGCATTTGCCAAAACACGTTTTAAGCACAAATTATGGACCGGCTCGATTCCCACAATAGTGCATAAAGTGGTCGATATGAAGGTCGAACAAAATTGTTAATTGGGAAAACGTACCTCCAGTCGATTAGCGGCATTAGATATGAATAAAGCTTTTTCATTCGAAAAATTGGACAGGGTAGGTCGACCCTAGTCAGAAGAGGCACTAATCGTTGAGTGGCTTTTTCCCTTGAAAATTCCGAACTGGATAGGAAAAATGCCGACAATATGAATTCATTTTTCTTACTTTTATCTTCTTTTTAAATTGATACAAAGTCTAGAGACTTAATAGACATAAAAATATATAAAATTGACCACAAATATTGAAAAAGAGTTTCAAATATCTAAAACTTACTCACATGTATGATAATTTTCCAAGTTGAACCAAACAAAGATCCCTTGATTGACATCTAATAGTGTATATCTCAATCATAGTAAATTTTGCTCAAGTAGGACCATATTGGATAGAAAGTGTAAAACTTTGTCAAACTTTACGATTCTTCTTGGTTGGGAGTTTTGGGTCGAGTTGAAAATTTTACCAAACAAGCCGAATATTAATCTACAGTCAAGTGTGACAAAGTTTCGTATCTATCTCTATCCTTAGAGTAGGCATCAGGTGATCCAATTCGGGTATTTCAATGCCCGAAACTCAACCGTAAATTTGGTTTTTTTTTGTCAAATAGAACCATTATGTTCTGTTCTGTTATGTTCAATTCCCATTCTATAAAAATAATTGTTTTCCAAAAAATTATAGAATATCCCAACCCAAATTTAATTTCCCGTTTTATGTTATACATATATACAAAAACATTTTCAACTACAAATGAGTACTTTCAGCCCACCATTTAATCTAAAAACAAAGGCTAGAGACTAAGAAAAACAAGAATAGTAAAAAAAGCAATAAAAACACTAAAAAAATGAAAAATTCCATATCTTATCAGGTTTCTATCACAGTATTTCAAGAGTAAGAATCACCCATTAACCTTCGAATATTTTGTAAATGGAACTAAAGTGAAAATGGACGGTTCCAGATTGATTCCAATTCGAAAGGTTGAGTTCTGGTTAAAATCTTCATCCCTATCTATTCGAAACTTGATCAAACTCAATACCCTGCGATTTGCGTTTGGTTGGTATCAAGTATAAAATTCTATGGAATGAGTTGGACCTAATCTAGGGCTTGTTTGGTAGGAATTCTAATTTTCTACAGTAAATCAATTCTCATTTTCAACCACACATTCTTCAATAAAATAATACTTTCCATCACATCAATAATTTTTTCATCTTTTTCAACCACAGATTTCCCATCATATCACTATTCAAAATCAATTCTTCCCCCAAAAATCCCTACCAAACAAGCTCCTAGAGTCAAATGTGACTTTCAAGTTGTTCGTCAATCGACCTATCACGTATGGGCCCAAGTTAACGAAAAAGTCAAATCAATTTGCTATCTGAAACTATGATTAAAGATGTATTCAGAGTAGTGGTGTCAACGAGCCGAACCAAGCCGAATCCGAGCCGGAAAAAAAAAAGCTCGAACCGAGCCCGAGTTTTTTTGGGCCAAGCCGGCTTAGGTTTTTTTTTTTTTAAATCTACATTTTTAAAAAAAAAAATTGTACATTTTGTGTTTGTTATAAATTAAAGAAATTATAAAAGTTAAAACACACCTCCTTTATGCGGGCTTAGGATCGACTACAATTGTCGTAGGTGGAGTTAAAACTATGCACAAATAAAATATTTCATGTACAATTTTTCTTTAAAAAAAATAAAAATTACTTATTTTTTTTTTGAAATTAAACAATTTAAACACTTACAATATCTTATGCTTTAATCTGCTATAACTCTTCGGCCATTATACTATCAACTTGTTCTTAAAAACATAATTTCGCACATTCTCAATCTTTCAAACATATTAAAGCCTCAAATATATCTTCTTTTAGTCTTGATCGCTCGTCACATAAAACTCGACCACCTAAACTAAATGCAGCCTCCGATACTACTGTAGACACGGGGGGTGTTAGTAGATCGCGAGTAATTTTTGATACAATTGGATACTGCCTTTCGTTACACTTTCACCATGATAAAAGATTAAATTCCTGTAATTCTTGTGGTTGTAACATACTACGAACGTCCACGCACATATACCTAGCTAACTCGGATGGAATTTGCAGATTTGTACCACGACATCTATTGCTCTAGATATTGACAAATTAGAACTAAATGATGGAACACTAGTATTGGTCTCTAAATAACTCCATATATTATCTGTATTTGTTGAAGCGATTCTTGAAAAAGAATTTTGGGAAGTAGAACTACACTGAACTTCCATTTCAACGTAATAGTTGTACATTTCACATAATATTGATTCTATATGTACATGTGATAATTGTACATTCATAAAATTTGAAATCATTTTTATAGTAGCTTTTATACCAGTTAAATTAAGTCGATGGTCCATCACTGAAGTTAATAAAAATAAAGAGGGTATCTTTTCCCAATATTACGAAATTTTGACTCCATAGAATAAACTATATCAACAAAAATTGACAAACTCCTATATTTTTGAAATACTTGTACAAAATAGAAAAAATGTTGTAAAACAAATGAAGATGTAGGGTAATAAACACCGTTACATTCTTTTGTGGCATCGAAAAAAAGTTTTCAAATTTTTTTCACAACAAATGCAAGATTCCATTCTCAATATTCCAAATTATGTTCGGATCCATATGTATGCCTACCATTATAATATATCGAAATAAATTTATCATAATTTTCATACGAGTGTAACATAAGATATGTAGAGTACCATCTATGTGATACATCAGTGACAAATGATTTCTCTTCTAAACCATAATTTGCACATAAACTGTTAAATGCTTGCTTTCTTACTGGTGATATAGTAATAAAATTAATTGCTTCCCTAATTTTATCTAATGGTTATTTTATAAGTTCTAATCCATCTTTTACAATCAAATTAATAATGTGGCATACACAACTTTGATGAAAAAATAAACCTTCAAATGTAGGGTTCAAATCATTAATAAATTTTTTGACAACAACTTTGTTTACACTAGCATTATCAAAAGTAAAACTTTGAACAATTTCTTGCATACCATATTCTTGTATACTATCTTTTAAAACCATATATATGTTAGTCGCATTATGAGGATATTCTATACATTTGAATGCAATAATTTCTTTATGCATAATCCATAGGTGATCAATGTAATGAGCTGTAGTAACAATATAACATTTTTCATTAACATCGGTCCCTAAATCAGAGATAAATGATATAACAGAATTAAAAGATTTTAAATTTTCAATAACAGTTTGTTTTCTTCTGTTATATAATTTTATAGCATTAGAACGAAAATTATTTCTACAATAAGAATGATACCTGGGTTGGAGATAATTCTGCACAGGACGAGTAAAGTGGATTGACTCGATTATCGTTAGCGGCATCTCTGCTGCAACCACGTATGCAATCATTCCTTCACGAAATCTTTTCTGTAAATATGCAAAAGTGGAAAGAGTAGAACCAGAACCGGTAAATGTTAGTTCGGTCTGTTTCGGGTGAAGACCAATTGGTTTCGTTTTGCAACTTCTTAATATGTTTCTATTTAAATGCGACGTGCTCGAACTAGACTTCCAACTAATTTTTTTACCACAATAATTGCAACATGTTTTCCAAATATCAACTCCATTTTGAACCCCAACTTTTTTGCCAGCCATATGCTGCCAACAATCCTCAGATTCTTTTTTCGACCTATTAATCTCGACTACTTCCTCCTCCTCTTCTATATCCTCCAAATCAATTGGAACATTTTGAGATGTATTGTATTCCAATGGAGTACTTGAACCACCTTTAAATTGATTAATCTCATCACTAGTAAAATTCATGTGTAAGTATTATAGTAAAGAATATTGGAAAATAGAGTAAAAGAAATTGGAGAGTAAAATACTGAATATTGCGTAAATAAATTTGAGAGTATAATACTGAAATTGAATATTGCGTAAAGAAATTCGAGAGATTGATATGGATTTATAAATTTTTTTCCGTATTTATAGACGAAAAAATATATCCGTTTTAACTATATTTAATATAAAAATTTAAATTAAAATAAGACAATTACATGAAAAAAATTTACGAATACATTTTTGTGGTTGCGTGCACGCAAGCAACAGCTTGCGCAGCTCATTTGTTGCTGCATGCGCAGGCAGCTTTGTAGCTGCTTGCACAGGCAGCTACAATTTTGTAGCTGCATTCCTGTCTGCACAGCAAACAGCTTTAATTTAAAATCAAATTTTTAATTTTCAATTTTTTTTATATAATTGCTTTGACACTGACCGTTTCGGCCCGAGCCACACGGGCCGGCCCGGGCTAGGGTCGA